CCTTGCAAGTTGCGAGAGTATAAAATGTTTAGTTACATCCGAACTTAGCCCTTCCTTACTTGTTTTTATATTTTTTCTTTGCAAATAAAAGTTCAGGTATATGTTATTTCTTGCAATATCAAATGCGTTTAACACTAATTTAAAATTCAGTAACCAATATACTAACAAATATTTATTGTTTAAATTAATTGAACTACACTACATGGCTATAATTTATTTTTGTATAGAACTGCTTCACTTTTCAAGGTAAACATTAATGGTCAATACCAATTTAATGATTTACACGATTGCACGATTGAATAGAAACCTTCAGGTTTTGCGATATTGTCCTTCAAAGCATGCTATGAAATGCATTCACAATATAACTGTTTCACCTGATTTACAGATTTTCAAAAAACTTTCAAAAAAATAAAACCAGTATAGAATAAAAAAATTTGCATGATCTATGGGAAGCAGACAGCTCGTACCACGCATTTGCAGCACCTATGGACGGCGAATCTGTTTAGCAACACCAAAACAAGGCAATAACACAAGCCATCGTTATAATTTGACAACTGATGACGTTGACGACCTTGAAATCAAACACACACAATAGAGCAGTAGTACCAAAAGTCGCTCAACAGCAACAGCAAAAGAAAAATTAAAACATATAATGCAAGTATTGCTCAGATCAAACATGTTTCTTGCCCAGCTGGTGTGATAATAAAGATGGTAAAAGATGCTAATTAGTTGTCACACGTTAAACGTGAAACGCCTTAAACCACAAAAACCGCTGGCAATGCTTTGGGAAGAGGAAGCTCGGTGCTCACCGCACTCGAATGTAGTGCTAATGTTTGTTGGCCATTGCATGCACTAGTGTTGTTGCTGTATCCCCAAGCACAAAATAATACTAAGCTATCTTATTACTTTTTCAATCGATTGATAAGTTCTCTAGTCAGCGCTTGGCGATAATTTAGTTTGACTGTCAAACTATAAAACTGGTTGGTAATGGTAATATTTTCTCAAGCAGGATATACAATAATAATACGATTAATGATGAGTATGACAGCATCTGTAACCTGTTTACACACTTCGAACATTTGTTGTTGTTGTAGATTTGATGCTAATCACAAGCTCACATTAAGCATTTTTATTTTCTGTTTTAGCATAAGATTAGCGAAACAATCGGTGCGCTGAAATTCGAAATGAAATTGAGAGTGTTGTGCAAATGTGTACATAAGCGTAAACAAATTATGCAAATGATAGGAAAAATAAGGTAAAACTCATAGAATACTGATATTGAAATTTTTTTGTGTATTAAATATTGTGCGAATGACCTTTTTCATTTGTTAGCAAGAGTTCCACGAAGCCTAGGTGGGTGTTTTCTCATGAAAGGTTCGTTTACACTATCATTGCATACGATTTGTTGATGTACGAGTATGTTTAGCTTTAATAAAATCCGCCTACATTGGTTAATTTCTAATAGATGGACATCTGAAGCATCTTAGCAATGACACTTATTGGATATTCTATATAAGTGGATATTTCTTCAAATAACATTTAATAGAAACTTTAAGAAATGCTTGATCCGAAAATCTTTATTAATATCGTAATAGTTTCTGAAAGTTATAGACACTGGTTCTCTAAGTTAATATTTCTAACTCATGAAGAAATATTTAGAAATTAGGTAGAATTGACCAGATTTGAATGGTTGCTTTCAATGCGAAGAGGAAACTGGCTGTTATGACTCAGAGTTGATGATGTTTTAAAGCAAAAACAATCAAAGTTAGATGAGATGAAAGGAAAAATAATTTACTGGCGATGTCGGCAAGTGGAAGAGAGTAAGAGTTAAAAACGGCTTATTTTGATTTCCGACAAAACGACGAGTCTTATGGAAAATAGTTATATGGCAAAGTTGTAGGTAATGAAACGATTTGTATTAACTATTTTTTCACATAACCTCAAGCCAAGTTTTTGAATTTTTTTTTATCTCTTTTAAAAATTTTGTTTCTTTCACGAAATTTGGTTACAATTTTTTTATTTGGAATATTTTTTAACTTTACTTTGATTTAATATCGGAAAAGCGAATTAATTTGCAATCCAAAACTTTCACGTCAAAATATCTGTTTTTTTTTTAAAGTCGGCCGGTTTTTTCCGCTGAAACCTCTACTTTCTGATGGTGTAAACAAAATACATTATTACAATGTAAGTTGCAAGGTTGCTCAGTAAATATAAAAAAATACCCGAAAAAACTCAGTTAGTTATAAAGTACCGAAACTGAAACTTCGCCTTCAATAGACTTTAAATCGTTATTTCAGCGTAAAGCATCCGCGTAGCTTTTGGTTAATGTAGAAACTCATATAGAATGAAAATAACCAGATTCACTAACCAGATCTATTATTAATATTAATATTTCCGCGGTTGCAAAAACTGGACATCGAAATAAATTTTTGGGCCAAAGAAATTTTAGAACCGACGTTTTTTTAAATGTTATTGGTGGACACTACAGAGTGCTTTTATATATTGTATATGTGGTCTTTACTTTATTAAAATGTGGTTCTAGAGCCAAGGTATCACCAAACGAACAGCCTAATGTCTACTCTAGATAAATAGTTTAAAGGAATAATTTTATGGCATAGAGGGTATGTGAGTAGTATTGCAATATTGCAGAAATTATGATCAACCAAGTAGAAGTCTCATTTCCTAAACTCAATGCTGCTATTAATAATTCAACCACCGTATTCACTGGATTTGGATCACTGTGCAGTTCCTGAAAATTATATGTTCACGTGCGATAATATATTTAAACTAAAAAACATCCACCCTGCGTCCTATAATGAGTACGAGGGAAATTGAAGGGTGAAAATTTGGATTTTATTCGAACATGGAACCCATTTGTTGAGATGAAATTTTCAGAATAAAAAATTCCAAGTAGGTTTTCATTTATTGCACACATTATCTACATGGGTATAGAAAAATTCAATGATATGGAAACATTAAAATTGACTTAATTTTTATTAATGAATAAAAATACACAAATATATTTCATTCTTTATATAAATGTGGTTGATTTGTATATTATTTTTAAGTCTGTGAGACTGCTAATGATATAACCACAAAATAATGTCGTTTACTCAAATTTCCACGAAACGCTTGTCAATTGTTTATGACCATGCAAAAATGAAGCAAAACGGCTGCATTCAATAAAAAAATTTTAAGCCAAGGAATACATTCAAATTTTATTTTAAATTTTAGGTTTTCTTACCTCATATATATACATACACAATTAGTTTATTATAAATGATAGAAAGTTTGTTGCATATTTCTACACATTTGTCAACTTTTTTTTTGATATTTAAATGTGTTTATATATATTTATATATTGCCTTATAATAGTTTACTTTAACAACAATATATACAAAGTCATTAGCAAACAGAGCAAAATTACTTAACAACTCAATTAAATTTTTATAATTGGCATTGGCAACAAATAAATATATATATGTATATATGATATATACATACATATATACATTTATGTATTTGTATAAGCTTTACGCAATTGCGCAACAAATTATGAAAAGCATTACAAATGAAAAAAAAAAGTTCAATGCAAATTTAATTGAAAGGCGACTTAAATTAAAAGCAATATTGCAAAAAGTTCACAAAAGGTTCAAAGCTTCTGCGAAAAAACTTAACAGTAAATAAATAATGTACCTTATATTTATAATATATGATTGTATGGTTTTACGCGTCTACCCAAACATGTAGATGAAAAACATCAAATGAAAGTGAGAAGGAAAGCGAGGTGCAATTGAAAGTAAAATTGGCGAAAATTTGTTACAATTTCTTGTTGCGCATCAAAGCAGGCGGAGCCGAATGTGGTTTAAGTGGTTGCTTTGCGTTGGTGCTGTTGTTAGTGCTGTTATTGTTGCTATTGCTATAGGCGCTTGCAGTTTTGATAACTATGATGGCGTGCAGCTCGTTGTTGTTTTTATTTGGTGTAGGCACTTAAACACGCTGTCGGTGCGCCGCATAGTAAAATATAGGGTATTGGCATAGGGAAAAGCTGTTGCTATTTTTTTTATAAATTTTATAATGGCTTGTAAAATATTAAAAAACTTTATGAGTTAGTTGGAACCAACGGAAAATTTTGAGAGGCTTTGTGCCTGAGCCTAATTTTATTTACCCATTATTTCTTCCACATAATAAATATATATAAAAAGCATTTAGCGTCTAAAAGTTATCGAAAAGTGTTCGTCGTTCATTTATAAGAACCCTGTATAAGCTCTTAATTTTTTCAAACATTTTTATGATTAAATACATACTTGTAGATATAGATTTAATAAAAAAATCACTTTTTTATTAAATATATTATAACAGCTCCAATATTGTACTCAAATCATAAAAATGCTTGAGAAAATTATATATAAACATGGCAAAAATATGGTATATGTGTGTCTACATGTCTATCATTCAAAACACAACACAAAGTTATTGCAACGCCTTATGAACGCAACAACGATGGAGGGTTGTTTGTTCATGCCACACAATGGGGCATAATTAGTAATGCCTTAAATGTTTCGAAACCTTTAAGTTAGTAAGTGAGTGTGCGTGTCTATATGATGCTTGGTAAATTTGAAAACACTATTGACTTTGCATATAATAATTTGTTGGTATGTACTAGTGGCGCACACAAATACATGCATACATACAATAACGTCTGCATGTGATTTTTATATTCTTCAGCTGTTGAATTTGTTGCGCAAAAAAGTAATGCAACCGCAGGTGCCACAGCAAGTGGCGTATTTCGCCAGCAAACATGTAATTTGCATTTTCACAGCGTGTCCGAAGGCCTATGCGGCAATCAAGGGTGCGAACGTAAAGCATACAAATGTGCCTATTGTGTCATTCGGGGTTTTTTCGCAATATTAACATGTTGTTATTTTTGTCATTTGTTTTTTTTTTGTGTTTTTGTTATGTTTTGCTGCATTAATGCAAAATTTTGTCATAAAACTTACTTGAAATTGTACCAATGTGGCAGTACTCTACAAATTTTATTTCAAATCCAAGTTCGTTGCTTAAGTCTTTTTTTGTTGTTGCTTGGTTCGGTTTGGTTTGCCTTACTTGTAATAAATATCTTCCTGTTGTTGTTGTTGTTGTTGTGTTTTGCACAGCGTTTCGTTTCACTTGACTTGTTATTGCACTTTTGTTATTGTTGTTTTTATAAGCATTTATTTCCAACACTTCAATACGCCGTCAACAATTATTATTTTCTTTAATTTTATTTTTAGTTACCTATTAATAATTCTATTAACTTTTATTACACAAAAAAGACAATTTGTGAACTGTATTGCATAAAGGAATGAAAAATTAGTTAAAATCTAGAAATATATATTGGGTGCATATATTAATAAATTGCATATAGTTTGCAATACAAGCCATAAAATTTAATGGCGAAAATGAGAGTTCAGCGCAGAAAAAGCATGGCAAAAATATGAAGAGAGTTGATAAAAGATATAAGAAAAGACACAAGAAAATGCAATTGTGCATACAAATGCAAAAAGTGTTCGCATGAACGGATAAAGTTTCGCATGCAAGCGGCAGCGCTCGCATAAAATACTATAAATGCACGGCGCGCGTCTTTGTTCCAACACCCAGCTGCATACATACATATATATATATGTATATATATATATATATATATATATATATTATATATATAACATATATTTATGTGTGTGTAAGCAATCAGCTTTGCTGGCTTTGTATTTGTTATATTCGGCTTCAGTGTTTTGGTGTTTGTGTTGGTGTGTGCGAAACTAGACACTTTTCTTGTTGCATGTTGCACTGTGGCCATAAAATACAAGCGCAAGCCAACAGCAACACACACATATACAGCTAAAAAAAATGCAGCAGATTTTAAACACTATTTTGTTTTTGTTTTTATTTTTAGTTTTGGTTTTTGCATTCAATTTTAATGATGCTTTTACATCCAACAATTTCAAAAAGTACTTTTTTGTTTAATTTTTTTCAATCAAATTTATTCGTACTGCAAATATTGCATATTAAAATCCACTTGACATTCGAGCACAGCGCAATCGTAAAGTTATATAAACGAGTAATATGGAAAAACACAAAACAGATTTGTCAAAAAAGTAAGTTGTTTGCATATTTTAAATATATTCAGCTCTTGCAACACACATTTCTTAATCAATTTAAACAAAAATAAATTTCAAAACTACATTTTATGGCACAAATTTGTGGATTTTCTAGTCTTATATTATTTTATTTTTAAAACAATTTCCAACACAGTCACGTTAGCAACAATCCGAAAATAAATTAAGTTAAGTGCATTTACTCTTTTCCTTATTTTGCAATCCACCGAATAAAGGGCCACTTTCAATGCGTTTAAAAATTTTGTTAACCGTTCGCAGTGCTGCTCAAACGCAGACTAAATTGGCCAACGATTGGCCAACTACCATTTGCTTTCAAATAAAATAAATATATTCACTTGTTGCTATTGCCACTGCCACTGGAAGTTGCTGACACCAAAAAGCCAATTGAGCAAAATTTACTTACTCCCATGCAAATTGATTGGAATTGTGTGGCGCCGTGGCGGAGCAGCTGTGCTGAAATACACACAAAGTCAACAGTAAGCGACGCATGCGCAGCTGTCAAACCACATTTGAGCCATACAGGCGAGCATATGTACTGCTTTGACGGTGCTCATTTGCAGTTAGCTTTATCTCTAAGCTCAATGGCTGTCGTTGTTATCTGTGCTTGCTCTCTCAACCGGTTGTGTAGCGGCTTTGCATTTGCTTTTGCGCATGTGCAGTATGTAAAAGTGCGAGTATTATAATATTATTTTGCGTTTTTGTTTTTTTGTTTTATTTTCTGGTTTTGCTTTTTTTTCAGAATGCCTCAACAATTAACTTTTGTTTAAAATGATTGCAAGAGATAAGGGTAAATAACAAACAAATAAGTGATAAATATCTAACGATCAAGAAGTTTAATCGATGCATCTGTAAATGTTATATAAAACACAGTTGAGATTTTTTTTAAACGTTTTATAAATATCTTATAACTATAGTTGAATTTCTGTATGTACCCGAGGGTAGTTGTGGAGTACATCGTTGGGGCCGTTTGGCTTTATACCTGTTTGAATGCAAATTATTCACTTTTTTAACATTTTTATAATAAAACAAATTCCGGTTAGTTACAAAACATATACTTCAAGAACGACTGAAAAATATGGCGAAATAGAAAATAACAATTTAAAAAAGTGCATAGATTGACTTAAAAATATTAATATGGAAAGTGATCCGAATATATAGAAAATATTATAATTCAAATGTAAACAATAATACAAAAATGTTAAAAAAAATGCAAAAAAAGTCTTCTAGGAGTTTGTTTCATCAAATATTATACCATCTCATCAAATTTGACCCAGACTGACAATATAGAAATACATTTTTACGTATCTTAATACAAATCTTTATTATCGCCTTCAAAATAGGCTCATGAGCTAATACAACCATACTAACGCTTAATCGAACTTTCCGTACACTTGTTATAAGCCTCGGCTGAGATGACCTTCAATGCCTTCAGCGAATTTTATTTCTTTCGATTTCGGCTAATTTTTTTCATTCGAAAGGTTGTTGAAAGGTTGGATGGTCATATTGATAAATTCACGTTTCGTCACCAGTAATGATGCATTTGATGTAGGGTTCTCAGCTGTGTTGCCAAACATCTACTGGATGTTATTTTACAAAAGATTCAGGTATTTTGGTGCGAGCCTAGCATTGACACGCTTCATACCCAAAACATTAGTCAAAATGTGTTCAGTAGATCTATAAGAGATGTTGAGATCCTCTGCTATCACTCTGATGCCAACACGGCAAGCACGATGGATTCAATATAGCAAAATATGCTGTAGAACATTCTCGTAGACTTTTACTAAATTTCAGTTAAATCGGACTTAGAGTTTTGTTTTGATTGCTTGTCAGAAAACTTGTAAAGTATCGGTTTTTATGAGCTTTACCCAGAAATTTGATAATAAAATACCACGGAGAATATGAAAATAGTCTTATATTGGCAGACCGCTTATGGAATGGGTGTGGGATAGCTTAAGCAATAGGCACCTTAAAAGTCTACGTCTACGGTCATGCTGCATGACTATTGGACATGAGAAAACTACGGCCGGGATGGGTGTCACGTTTGCTCAACCCGGACAGCAAACGCAATCATAAGACTACAACATAACAGGGGATTTTCGCTGTTTAAGGCAATTCGGACCGAGTTGATTTTTTCATCGTTTCGGGACCGTCGACAATTTAAAAATCCGTTGTAACACAACAGAAATCAAGGTCAGTGGTCTTCATCCGGTTCTATCGGGCGGAAAGATGTTGCTCACTGATTTAATTTTTACAAAATGTGATCAACACCTAAGAAAGGGCAAAATGGCACTACTATGGCAAATTATGGAGCTGAATTTTCGCAGAATTGCAGCAAAACCGGCACCATTGGCAATTGCTTTCCCCCCCTAAGAAGGCACAGGCTCACACCTTCGCCATCCCTACGGCTAAATTGGTCGAATTAGGCTCGAGCGGGTGCCCAATCTATCACATTCTCTATATTTTGACTCGTGCCATTTTTGTTTTTCCGATCTTGAAAAAGTCACTGATCGGGCAGAGTCGAATGAGGAGGATAGTGGAGGACTACTTTGCTGATATCTATAAGACGTATTTTACAAACGGCGGGTATTCTGTTTTAGAAAATCTTTATGAAATTGTTATACCTCTTGTGGAGATAGCGGCAGAGAAGGAAAGAACAGAAGGCATTAAAAATATATACGAATATTTAGAATATTTATCAGTTAATATTATATTTAAGTAATTTAATGTATGGTTAGGCACAGATAAAATAAACAAGTAAAAACGTTAACGTCGGTTGCACCGAAGCTAGAATAGCCTTTACAAATAATAAATAGACCATAAATTTTGTCTGAAAATTTTAGCGTTGTCTTGGACAATAATCTATGCCAAATTTCATGAAGACACCCTTGTAAAATTAAACAATTTTCCATACAAAGCCTTGATTTCGATCGACTAGTTTATATGACAGTTTCGTATTATAGGCTATAGTAGTTCGAATCGACGGTTCCGACAAATAAGCGGCTTCTTATGCGAAAAGTATATGTGCAAAATTTCAGATCGATATCTCAAAAACTGAGGGACTAATTCACCTATATATAGACCAACGAACATGGCTATATCGGTTAAGCTTATCACACTGATCATTTATATATATATACTTTATAGTGTTTGCAACGTTTTTTCCCGAGCGTTACAAACTTCATGGCAAACTTACCATGTCCTATTCAGGGTAAAAATATCGGAGTGGATAACACAAATTGTCTCCAATAACCTGAGTTGACTTAAACAACGTTGACATATTGCCAAAGATTAATCAAATAAAGTAGGCGAGCCCTGAATTGTAAGCATAGATTATATTTGGATGTATATGCTCTCAAAGCAAGAACGCTTTATGTTGCCGCTGCAAAATGAAAAGCAATATACTATTTACATTTTTTTATTCAAAAGATTTATATGTTAATAAAACTGATTAATGTATCCTTTATGCTAACAGCAATACAAATACACATTTCTGATTATATGTAAACACATATTTGCTTGCGTGATAAAACTACTTTATTCAGATGTACTCTTTTCATTTTTGTTTTGCTAGCCGGCTGTTACAGGTTTGGTGAGGCGCGTGTTCGATTCACTTAGCAAAACTGGTTTTAAATTCACAAATTTATTTATTTTATTTTATTTAAAACTGTCTCGGGTGCTAATCTTATATTTGCAATATATACATACACATACTTACTTATAATTTATATCAATGTTTTTATACGAGTATAACCACTTTTGGTTTCGATCGGTTACTATTTAAATACTTAGCTGTTGGATTTATTATAATTGGAGTAAAGTAGTGCGTGTGGAAATAACTATGAAGAGATATATCCTAATTTTGTCGTTTTATTGTTAATTTTAATTATTTTCCAATTATTTTCGTACCGTCTAGCGATTTGAATATGTATGTGTGGATATTACAATATTTCTTAGTTTGATTATCAAAATTTTTCGCTTAACATGCATCCCATATATTACAATACTACAGCGAATTCCGCGAATCGAGGTCAGCTAAAACTGAAAGGCCAATAAGAAACGACAGTAGTATCGGTTTCCTTACTCACGTGCTTGCGTTACATCAACAATTAGTATATGTAATTGGATTTAATAATAATTTGTGCAAACACATTCAACATTCGCTGGTTAAGCAGTTCGTGTTAATTTGTGCAATCGTTGGCCCTTTAGCCCGCCAAAACAATGACATAACAGCCCAAAGCGGTGTGTAATGCATTTGCGAGTTTATGGGTCGATAGTTCGTTGGCTGGGCACGCTTTACTGTTGCCGTTAAGTGCGCAAAACACTAGCTATTAGTCACTTTTCTGAAATCGAAATTGTTAATCGAAACATGAGTGATTGCGCTGCCAGCTAATTTATTTACAAAACACCGCAAATTACTAAATACCCGTACTTAATTCAATAAATTCGATACGCTTTGCAAGTGAGTAATTCAGAGTATGAGAGCAGCAATAAGCAGGCCATAATTTGTGTGCACTTTCATTACATTTTTGTATTCACATTGAAAACTGTAACACAAACTTTATATATACATTTTCAACTAGATTATAGGCTGTTTGGACAATCACCTTCACATAATACTATACTAATTACGGCATACATTACATTACAATAGTCGCCGCTTAATTGAAATGTAATACTTTTTTTAATTTTATGAAAGTTTTTCCACTCTATGTTTGCCCATAACATGATAAAATTAATAATGAAATGATAAGTTGGGTATGGCGCAATATGTTGCTTATAGGTGCAGGAGCTTGTCAGTTTTAGATATAATTATATATACTTGCAGGTATTAAAGAATTTAGGTGGAATTTTTATTTGCAGGTTTATGCAGATAGTCATCAAGAAAAAACGTAGTAAGACGATACTAGGACCTAGTAAATACATTAGGTCAAACAAGAAAGCAATCGGCTTAAGAAAGTTATCTGAAAAAAAAGTTCAAGAAATTTTGAATAATTATTTATTCAAAGCGCAAATATGTTAATAAGCCGTCCAGTCATCACCATTTTTTATAATTTCATTACAACGGGAAGGCAGGCTTATCAACTATTTTGCCATCATATGGCTGTGGTAAATTTCGACATATTGCGCTAATATTTTGTTTTAACTGATTATTGATCGCATCTTTGTTTCGCGCTGTTTCATCTTCATGAGTGCCCAAATGTTTTCGATCAGGTTTGCATCTAGCGACTGTGAGTGCCAATTTAATGAAGCTATTCGAAGTGAGTCGACAAAAGTGAATCGTACGAAGCGAAATCTGGTGAATACAGTGGAAGAACTTTTTTTTTTCGAAATAGAACCGATATTGCCCTAATCAGCGCAATTATTTGGCCCAGTAGAGCCCGGCTGCATTTTTTTCCTTCTCCAGGCAGTCAATGTATTTCACATTTTGTAGATCCTAAAAAACATTGACCATCCACTTTCTGACCAAAAGGACAGTTTTTTACTTTTTTGGGGCAAGTTCGCCAATAAAATCCACCGTTTCTTGGCCTATTTCCTTAATAATATAATAACTGACGGATAATGCCATCCACGGACACGAACTCTTCCACACGCAGTTAAAACCAAACTCCGAGTCCCATTCGGCGGCAACTATGACATTATTCGTTCATGAGAATGTACTACACGATAATAAATTACTCTTGCGATTGTAGGCAGATCATTAAATATCCGTTTTGTGACAAAAAATTAACATTGATAAGTAGTTTGATAAATAGGCTTAAATAATGTTTTTTGTTCGACTTATCAGCTTATCCAAATGTTAAACTAAAGGTATATAATATGTAGATATATTTATACATATCCATGTCCCTTAATCTCAATGGATTACTTAATTATTTTTAACAAAAATTACCCTTTCCTTACTAGTTATGTTATAGTCCAGAATTCACCAAAAAGGTACCAGCCGGGAAACGTGCTTTTGCTGCAATCTCAACAGCATATGCTATGTATATAAACGCGTACTTCTGCAAATGCTTATATAAACCTTAATTTTTTTTGCCACAGTAGAGTTATGGTTAAAAGTAGGCAAAAGCTTGGCATGTAAGTAAATCAGTTGGATTCGATTGTCCGACTAAGCATAAGAGTGGCTTTAACTTACTTTACCGGTTTTCACGATGTGAAGGTAGTTTGAGCCATTTTCATATATAGAGCAATGCATAATAGCAATTACAACCATTTACAAAGTACTCGCATAGACATATTTAATATTACACAGATTTTTTAACAAACAAACAAAAAACGAACCTATCACGCTTTGATCTAACAATTTTGTTCATTAATATTTAGTGCTTTTTATTATAATTTTTACCACGTAACAATATACTGTTATTTAAGCGTGTCTTACACCCCCACAATAGCTGTTTACCAACTATTTTAGCACAGATAAAAAATTATATTTTCTTTTTTTGTTATTCAGGTTAGGAAAGATGTCGCCGACGCTTTACTTTGGTGTTGGTGGGGTTGTTGACGTTGATGCTTTTGGTCACGAGCGGCTTTACCGTCACAGTTATGCTACACATTCTAATTGGATTCTGAGAACAAAATTTGCGGTTTACAAGTGGAAATCTGGTCAAACGTGTTTCAGTTGTCTTTATCCACAATTAACTGCTGTTTAACACAAGTTAAGGTAGTTGTTTTTGTTACTATTCTTATTGCTCGTTCGTGGACCAGCTTGTTAAGTTCTTTGGCATAAGATTACATACGTACATGGTGATTTTCCAGTAAGTGCTGATTTTGTTGACGCGCCGGTTGCTTGTGAGTTGAATTGTAAATCAGTTTCGCTTTTTAATATTTTTGTATCATAATTGTTGCTATTTTGTATACGTTTGTATGTGTTTGTTGTGACTGATTATGATCACAATCACTTAAGGCCTTGGCGAGCGTGCAATTTTATGTGCACAACTATTATGTAATATAATCAAAAAGTACTTATATACACATACACTTATGCATATGTATCTCATTTGAAATCTGTACTGCGTTTATTTTTTGAACACATTCGAAAACAAATGGTTCGTTCAATTGTGTATGTCTTTATAGATATTTTGATAGTATAAATGTATTTTGTAATAATTTAAAAGCGCTTTGCATTAAACAGTAAGTTAAATTTTATACGAAAATACATTTTTATTTACTTTCATAAGTTTTACATTTTTAATATCATCTAATACTTATTTATAGTGCTTAAGTAAACTGATTATCATATTTTATTCAAAACTAAGGTGACGTAATCAAAGACCTTGTCCTTTGTTTTTCATTAATATTAAAAAGTCTAAGTCTTCCGCAGTAGTTAAACGTATATACGTTTCCGTTTTGATTTTATTTTCGACATGAACATTTTCAAAACTATAACATTAAACATACAAATTAAATAAAAATTAAAATAATACTAATTTCATATAACTAAACTAAATCAACATCTATCTATGGCTAGCCTAGAAAAAAATCCAGAACAAAACGATACACTTTACTAGCAGTACTATTACTGGCCGGTTTCATCAGGGGCTGCGGTTCCTGGAACGTATTGAAATCGACATAATGCAGTATATACCATTCGGCCACAAAGTAAAACACCAAAGTAATAAGGCCGAACTTGAGGTAAATCTTGAGAATATCAAATAAATGACCTAAAAGAATTTGTAAACCTTCCATGACGCAATTGAAAGCGCGGCCAAACGCCACCATCACCATCGTCGGTGCTTTACCAAAGTGACAATTGATTGCAGCTCACGCTGGGCCAAAATGCGGTGAGCTCTTCGTCTTTGCGTTTTCGGCTATTATTTGTTTATGGCTGCGCGCATGTGCGAAAACTGTTCGTGTTAACGGTGTTGGCCTGGCGATTTGCTAATTTTTTGCCTGCGCCGTGTATGTGCCTCGCATGTACAAACAAACCAACGTACGAATATATGCAATTGCAACTGTAGAGCACACAAATCACATATCCAATAAATGTGTTTATTTGTATGCTTGGCTGTTATTTTTAATATGCAGCAATTTTTGGATTTTTCGTAAGCTTTTGTGAAGCCTCCTCTTGGATTCGGCGCGGAGCGACTCACTTAAGTGCTTTAATATGTGACAGCTTTGAAATTCGTTTAATAATTCGCGAATTCGATGCGCTTGTATTTTTGTTGACAACGTCGGGTTTCACTCCACACACATGAGTTATATAATTATTGCACTTTGCTTTTTTCAAGTTTACTTTAATTAATTTTTAAGTTCAATCATTGATTTGTTTTATTTTTATTTTTATTAAGTTTTTTCTTTTTTGAAATATTTATGGGCGTCAGCAGAATACCAATGTTATTGTAACAGTTTATTCCAGCTGTGTTTGAGGTTCAATATTATATTTTGAACTTATGTCCTTTTATTTGAGATCCCGAATGTAAATCTGTAAGTAAAATAATAATATTTTTTAATTAAATCATATTTTTTTTAAATAATTAAGTTCAGAACGGTGTGAATTATATAGTCTTCGTTAAAAGGTTCGGGGTTGTCAAAATTTCCAAAAAAAATTTTTACATTTTATGAAATAATAAATATAAAAAGCTTCTATCAGGGCACGAGATTGTCTATTAATAAAACAATTTTTTTTTTGATTCATTTTAAATGAATCTCAAAGGACTAGTGTAGGGTCACCGCAAGGAGCTTCATCCGAAGGATTTTTTTTTAATAAAATTTTTGTCAACTCAAGTCGAATGTTGTTATGTTTTTACTTTAATAAAATAAAATAAATTATAAGCGAAAAGAAAATTGAAAATTGTAATTTTTGCCTGTCTCTGCTACACTTTACCCCATAAGTACTAAATGAAGTTCGTTGCTTAAGTCTTTTGATTATTTATTAACTTTAGGTTGTGTCAATTGCAGAATGACGACAATCAAAAAAGTAAATGCAGTAATTGAAGAATAAATTTATAGTTGATTAAGATCTATAATGAACCCCTTGATACTAACAGCTGGTGATATTGACGTAAGGTTATTTTATAGTTTATTAGCAAACAGCGTTCCGTTTCTTTGTACCTAAATATACTTGGTAATAAAATTTTCAAGCCTATGAAAAACTTTAAAACCGTTCACCCATTTTTCGGAGTCAAAACTTAATTTCAACGCTATCTAGCAGGTTTCTGTTGTTTAGGAACACTCTCTGGAAGTATGAGCATATGCTATTATGCAATATCGTGATACAGTGTAATAAAAATCGAATAATACAATAATTATATCAATTTTTAACTACTATAAACCTAAAATTGTTAAATTTACCTAGAAGGATGGTGCAACATGCATTTGGATCCCTTGAAAATTCGATAGATGGGAATATCACCGCTCACTTTTAGGTAAAATTATAATAAAACCGAGTTGAACCATATTGAGCACAATTAGGACACATTCCATGTGACAACTCCGATTTGAAATTGACCAAAATCAAACAATACCTGCCTGTAGCCCTTGTATAATGAATGTGAAGATTTCAGTGTATGCTCCTAATTTAAACGAATATGTGAATCTTAATAAAACAATCCTCACAAACCTAATACTATCTGATTTCATTTAAAATTGTAGTAGAGTTTTGAATAAATCATAAAAAATTTCACTAGGAGAAATTTAAAAAAAAATGTATCTTCTTATTTATTGTATGAAAAATTAGTATAAATAAAAGATAAGGAAGTGCTCAGTTCCTACGATCGAATATCTTTTATTTATACTAATTTTTCATACAATAAATAAGAAGTGACTAAAATGTTGCTTTATATATTTATTAACTTATTTTTTACTGAAAATAAATAAATATTCGCTTAAAGGACTTTAAGCTACGCGATGTGAATAATTTGCTACTTAGTTGCTTATAAAAATTGTGAAAAATTATTTTTCAGACATTTTGTCTTGACGGAATTGGATATATGTATGTATATAACGCTTATCTGTGCTCTGTCACTTTTATAAGTATCGTTTTTAATCCATTTAATATGATCGTGGCAAATAAGAATACGAATATGCAAATATTTCGTGGAATTTTAACATTCATTCTGCCTCCTTGAAGTAAATGAAATATTGAGAAAGATATGTCCATAAAAATTCATTTCCAGCTCTTTTAAATATATTATTGAACGATTTTATATTTCGCGTGAAGAAAATATTGTACAAGAAAAACATAAAACTATAATATACGTATGTAGGAGTTTCGGAACCGGTCGATAATGCCCAGAAATACTTGCAGGTCGCAAGCCGTACAAGCCGATTACCTTCATTTCGGTACCGGCAAAGCCTGTTGTTGTGCATTAATGACAGCTGTTTTTTATTTTTCCTTCTTATACTCTTCAACTTCTTCTTCGAAATGAGTTGAGTATGAATAATAAAATTAAAAAATCGAAAACGATGTTAATTAAAGTCAAAAGATATTAAGTCCTTAAATTTAGAAGATGTAGATATATTTTTGGGTATTTGTAGTTTGATAACGTCTGATATTGGTAGCGAAGCAAAAATATATTTTAAATATCAGTGAAATTTCCTAGAAATACTTATAGCAAAATACCAAGGTTCTTCTTTACAATATTGTGTTGGTAAATTTGTCAATATTATCGATGCGTTGGTTGATCTAATGAAAAAATGTAAAGGGTACCTGATTAGTAGCTCCGTTTAACCTGTAAGGAGGCTTTTTATACTAAATAAAAAATCATCTGAGCTTTAGCAAGAGAAATGAAGATTAGAGCATGGATCGCTATAGAAGACATCCCACCTTAATTGAATTAAAGAGAGGCACTTTCATATAATTCTTCATCTTTTTTAACAAATGCCTGACATTCTGTCGATTCCTTCGGATCTAACTAATAGAAAACCTGAAGTCTTAGCGACTGAAATAAAAACCAGAGAATTTTTTCAGTTTAAGTAAGTATGTTTGTTCATCTATCACTAGTACTATTTAAAAGTTACGCCCCATCAGTTTCTGTTCCAGATGTAGACATTTTCATTCATGGACCACTGCTTCATACAACGATTTAACGAGTTATATTCATTTGCAATTTAAATTATTAAAAATTTCAAGTAGATCAGTGCAGCCGCTTTGAAAGTTTTGTGAGTTGATTACACTAAAAAATTCTTACAAATATGACAACTTCTCCGAAACTATTTGCCAGATCAATTTCAAATTTTCGGACAATATTTTTATATATATATGAATATACAAAAAAATCGATTTTTTGAAATACCCAAGTGGATATAAGCCCTTAAATAAAAGAGAGCTTTGGTGATCAACTGCTCACCCTTTCCAATTTAGTTCTCATATAAAAAGAAACCCGCTTAGATACCTTCTATAGTTTTTAAAATTCTTGCTAAAAACCATTTGTCGTCAATTTGCCTACATGAATCATTACGACGCGTGCCAAATTTTTCCAAAGTGTTTTTGAGTTTGAACTCAGATGCATTGACTTGACATAATTAACTTGGTTGTTAAGTGACGAAATGTCAAGACTCAATTACAAGGTGTTTGTAGAGATTATTCATTATATCATTAAATGATATAAATGATAAGGTATGTTTTTAAATATTTCCAATAGTCAAAAGACACTTTTTGAATTTAAAAATAGCAGAATAATATTTTGCATATGAAAGTAAATTCCAAACTAAAATCCCGTTCCAAATTTTAATTTTTTTATAAGACAAAAAATAAAATAATTAAAAAAAGTTTATCAAATATAATATTATATAAAAAACAATTATAAATAAATTGAATATAATAAACGATATACTTTCATTGGCATAGTTTTCCCTACAGGGCACATATGCATAATGTTACATAATAACTGAAGCAATATTGTTATTTTGTTTAGCATGCGGGCTTTGACTTATAAAAAAACGCATATATATGTAAGCATTTTTGGATGCTTTTGAATATTATTTGTTTTGCTCAATTTGTTGAGCTTTTTGACTTTGCATTTACTGTCACAATATCTCTACCCTACAACGGGCTATAGTTAACCCAAAAAAATGTGGGTGAACGCTGGGCTATATACTCACAAACCCATGCATGTGAAGCACACATCTTCGTTGCCCTCTCTAGCTACACTGGTGCCTATAAAGCACACTTATATATATATAATATAAATATATATGTATGTATTTGTGTAAACAGTGCTAGCCCACTACTCAATGACTCTTTGCCGCAGTTTTGACACATTACTCTAACTTATTTGAATTAGTATGATACACATGCGCAGTTGTGCAGTTAACGTGAACGCATTCACTACCGGTTTGTTGAAAGAAACGCATACACACACGCATATATACATATTGGTGTACCAACAGATCCCAATCACGTCGTTAAAATGTGTGTCACTTTTTAGTTAACCGAAGGTGTAGCAACCACAATACGGGCATTATGCATGCCTTCGGCTAATTATATGAGGCATAATAAGTTCATTAGCTGTTAAATTATTTTGGTTATTTTTGGGTTATCGCATTTGCAGTTTTCTGCCGGCGGAGAATGTGAGCTTTGAACGCCCACCCACATTGTGTGCACTCGTTACTAAATATTTTGAATTGTGTGCACACACACATATACATATCGTATGTTTTTATTGCCATTTTTTATGTGTAAACTTCGATTACTGAATAAACTACTGGAATTTCTCACACTCCAACTACTCCATTCATGCATATATAGTATGTACATATACTATATCGATATATATGCCCATGTGCTACACATGCCAAAAGAGACTAACTCTTTTCCATTGTCATATAATTTTTTTTGTTTACAAACTTCGGCTTCGATCACTCACTGAATGCAATATTGCGTCGAAACCTCTTATTGCTGATAATGTATGTATTGCTGATATGTACATGCATTTATACTTATACATAATATAGATTTTACTTTTTCACGATTTGTAATAATTTAAAGAATATCATCAAAATCCAAATATATTTATTAAAATTATTTTGTTGCTCGTCTTACGTATAAGAAAGAGTTGTTCCGGCGACTGATGTTTGGCTTTTCGTGTTTTGACAACTGGAAATTGTTTAAACTGAGCACGCTTACAAGTGGCTGAATACAAAGAGCGTAAGTGCGTTGCGTTTTATGTTGGAAAAAAAGCTTACTCAGCAATTTATGAAAGAGCGCTCGTAAAGATCCACTGAGGGCAAAGAGTAATGTCGCTTTTTTAACAACAAAGCGCGATCACCTGTTTAAATCATTCGAAAAGCTTCGTTATATGAAAGCTTTATTGATGTTATGGCGCCTAAAACTATGCGCTCTGTTATTATTAATATTTATAATAGTGTAAAAAAAATCTATAATTTTTTCTAAAATTTATAAATATTTAAAACTTTGTTTCACTAAATTTCTATATTTTATTTAATAAAAATGTAATAAAAAAAAAACAAATTTAAAGAGTTGCCATACGATTTTAAATCCGAACTTTTTAAAAATAAATTATAATTTTCAAATTTGAAGTACTTTGTGGGTACAGAAATTTTTAATGTATTGGAAGCCTTTAAATTTTTAAGTGGTAACAGTTTGAACACTCTCATTTATTTACATATTTGTATACTCTCGCAACATGTTGCTAGCGAGTAGAAAAATTTTGTTCATCTAACGGTTGTTTTTATCACTTATTACTAATCGACATAGATATTGAGGTATATATATTATGTAAATGCTCAGTACAACGAGACGAGTTGAAATCCGAATATTTGTATGTCCGTCCGTTCCTCAAAAGGTATAATATATATATCTCACAAACTATTTAAGCTAAATCAACAAAATTTGCACTGGACAAAACTTCTCGATGACAATGTGAAAATGGGTGATTAAGGGCCAGTATCAAAATCGGACAATGGGCAAAGAAACGCCCACCTTTAGGTGAAAACCGGTATCTAAAAAGCTAATGGATTTCCACCAAATTTAGTGAACAATATTATCTCAACATTTGTATATTACCATGTGAAAATGGGTGAAATCGGACCCCAACCACGACTACTTCTCAAATATACCACAATATTCAATTCGGACAGTAAGCCCCAGATAGCGATTATGTGGACTACATTGCTTATATCTCCTGAAAATAAAGGTAAATCTATGAGGTATATAATTAAAATAATTTTCCTGATAATAGTGTGCGCTTGCCCCAAATAAGGGTCAAAAGTTATTCTAGCCCTCTTATACCTCATATAAAGATTTTCGAACTTCCGATTGACCTTATACTGTATATATCGGTCAGTATGTGAGTTATCTTAATGAATCTCAGAAAGCATATTTTTCTAATAACAACATAACCTTGTGCCTAAAATGGGTACAATCGGATAAATACTTCCCTTAGACGCCATATAGCTAATATAAGGATTTTCAAACATACGGTTGACTCTATGCCTTATGTATCGATTAATATGTGATATGATCAGTAGATATTTTTTAAACATAATGTGGTTAAGCGCTGAGTATGAATGAAATCAGTCAAGACCATAGTCGAAGTCGCTTATATCTAACATATTGATTTCCGTTTCTCTAGTCCTTAATTAAATGCATCATTTTACTTCTATTATATTATTATAAACGCAATATTGAATAAAATCCATTTTAAAAAGTAAACAATTTGTATAAAAAACATTTACTTTTTTATTTCCAACACATTTGATATAAATAATGAATTTGAAAATATATATTCAACAAATATAAAAAACAATTATAAAAATTTTTACAACTTAAAACTAGGAAGTTTATCAATTAAACATGAAAACAATCAATAAAAATGCAAAAATATAATAATAAAAACCAATTGAACAAAATAAGAATTTCGTGTGAAAAACTACCCAAAATAAAAATTTATCAGCAATGTCCACCCAGGTAAATAGCAAACAAAGCTAATTGAGGGCACTGGGAGCATGAAGGGTCTGAACAGCTGAAAATTGCTACCGACACGCCAATAATCGCTAGCACCAAAGCCATCGTTACTTCGTCACATCGTCAAAGCAAGATCATCAAGTTCATCATTTACCGAAGTTAACGATTGCAGCGACACATTTATTCGATGGCCTCGATTATTTCATACTCATCATCCAGCGAATGGTCATAGTCGATGTTGTATTTGTTTTTGATTTTGCTCTTGTAATCTTTAAGTTCATCGTTATCCAGATTATTGGCATTGGTTGATGTGCTTTTATTTCTACTATGCTTACTCTGAACACTATTGTTGTGGCTGTGGTTGCTTTGATTTCGACTATTCAAGCTGCGATCATTGGAACCACCAATTTGATTTGATATACTATAGCCCATATTATTCTTATTCTTATTGCTACTACTGCTATTGCTCTTATATTGATAATTATGGTTGTTGTTGTTGTTATTGCTGTTACTATATTTATTACCGCCATCCGAGTAAGTATTGCCATTATTTTGTGAGTATTTGATGTTGCCTCTAAAACTACTTTTTGGTAAATTATGAGTGGTCAGCAAAGAATTTTGCTGTGATTGTGGTTGGCGCTGTTGTTGTTTATTGAACCGCATTTGTTTTTGCCCATATTCTGATATGGTTAGCTCACTCAAGCCATTAATTTCACGCGCATCATAATAGGCATCTTCCATTTGAAATTCTTTTGGTTTCCTTTGTCTTTGTTGTTGTTGTGCATACTGCAGCTGTTGCTGTTGCTGTCGTTGATGTTGTTTCGCTTGCTGCTGCTGTTGTGTTTGATATTGATAATTTTGTTTTGGCTCGCTCAATAAACTGGTTTGATTTATCGCATGAATGGCCTTATATCAGAGGTTCTGTTCGGGATTTGGTTCGGTGGTACGGTATAGTTCATCGTTGTTTTTGTACAATTGCTCTGCCACCGGGCAATTGACATTCGTCCACCAATCACATACACGTACAGCTTGATTGAAAACGGTGCCGTTGGGGCATATGAATGAGTATTGATGGCCCGAGTGCAGGCACCAATGCCAGACCTAAACAATAAAAAGGCAAGAAAATTTAAAAATATTAGAATACTAGGAAATAAATAATTCGTTGGCATTTACTGGTAGTGACAGACCACACAATAAAACTAACTTTACAAAAATAAATCAGCATCTCAGTTTGAGTCTATAATGAACTGAAATTTCTGAACCCTTTTTAAAAATTGCATGTCATTGGAAGTGTGTTGCAATTTACTTGTATGACCTAATGACTTTTAGTTGTACCACACATCATTTGAGAATTCCAATCGATGTACAGAAGCTAACAGAAGCAACTAAGTGCTTCGAAGACTCAAATAATTTTAAATGTTTTTTCAAATTTTAAGATGTTTTTTTGAAAGTGGAGAAATTTTAGTACTGTTGAAGCAAAATTAAAGGGTGAGCATAATTTTATATCTGGAGAATCAGAGATATTTTCTTCTATTGTCCGTATTGCCTGTAGTAAATTAAAAATTCTTTAAAATATATATTTCTAAAAATATATTTAAAATATAAAAAAATTAATGATATCCTATAAATTTGTGTAATTTCTCATAGTTTTTTTGATATATTGTGACTACTTCAACTAATTCGAATAACTAACCATATAAATATATATACGATATATATATATATGTTTTTTCCAACTGTATGAAAAATCGACGTACTATTTTACCGAATTCAAAATGAACTCGAGAAAAAAATGAAATATATTTGTAAGAAAACTTTCGAAAATTGAAGTAGGGTTGAAATATCAAGTGACAAACAAGCGATAATATCTTATCGATTAAAATGTCGATAAACTATATCAGACAAAATGAACTAGTCTCAAATACTATCTTTAAGGCCTAATACTGCTATTAAACGGCCTTGGTCAATCCAAATGAGACCATTGAGTAAAATTTTGGCTAGAGATACACATGTGACATATATAATATAATTTATAATTCTCAGTTCATATACCTGACAACGGGTCTCCGTATCAGCATAGTAACCTGGCAGCCGATTTCTACATTTGAATGAAAGTCCTTTGGGCACCGATTCATAGGCAGGATAATCAACGCCCGCTGTGTAACCATCAACTTGCTGTGAAAAAAAAATTAAATTGAGATTAAAATTTTATACATAAAGAAACAACATTGTATAATTTTTTTTTTTATAATTTTTATTATGTCTGCATTTTATAATATACCGCATATGAAGTGTGAGTGTGCAAAGAGTGGAAATAATTAAATTGCGTAACATCGTAAAAACGACCTTCCATAGACAGTTTTTTCATATAGTTCATTTGCATATTATATGTATTCAACAACACAAACTCTACATGAAAGCTCAAATTTCGATATGTACACATATACATTCATCTGCTTATCTGCATTTTCAACAGAACGCTTCCATATGATGGATTTGTCGGCGCTAATATTTGACTTTGCATGACAAAAACTGGGCAACAAAAACAATGTGCTTCACGCCATACAATAAAAATATCAGAGATAAAAAGATCAAATATTTAGATGTACAAAATTGTATATATGTATATGTATATACATTAGGGTGGGAGAAAAGTAATGGCTTTTCTCAGCTTAGTAAGGTTCACCTCAAAGTAAGGTTCTCCAAATATTAGCTCTTAATTGTAACGGGAAGCTCCTCCGCTAGTTGGAAACGAGATTTGAAATTATGTATCTGATAATAAGAAAAAAAAGAGATGACTGTAAAGCTGAGGACGTTACCGTTGCAAATAAGAGCTCATATTTGGAGAGCCTTTCTTATACCCACCCTAATATACATACATGTATGCACATAGGCCTGACACATAATATATACACTTACTTAGTAGTGTAAATTAGAATTTCAAATTTGATGCGAAGAACAAAAAAAAAACAGATTTATGCATATATTTATGCATATAAAATTTTTTATATTCGTACTGGTATATAAATATATGCACATTTATCTAAGTAAAAGAGCGTAAAATCAAAATATATACATGCAAATATTTTATGTTAGCTAACTGCTAACCGAAAACTATTCCATTTTGGAATAGTACTAGTCTTAGTATTTTCACACCAATTCCTTTCGATCTCATGTTCACTCCCAGCTGTGGTGCTCCCCTATTTGTGGTGCTCGACTAAAGGTTATCCCACGATAAAGTTTCAGCGTTTAAAACCGACTCTAAATGACTGTCAGATTTTGATTAGAAACTGTTTTGC